TATATATATATTTTCGACTGTTCTACCCTATCCTTGTCATATATTAGTATATGGTCCCCTTCAGATATATATATATATATATATTTGACTTGTCTGCTTTTTTTGTATGTCTGTCTCTCAGGCCGATTTTTTTGTGGCAACTATGTTGATATCCTTTGGATGACCAGTTTCAAACTACTCTCTCTATGTAAACTGTTTTTTCTTTGATTCTTTACTTGGTAGATTTTCTTACAGTTTAACAACAGATGAAAGGGGAGAAGAGAGTTTGGTTTAACTAAAATAGATTGAAGTATTATAAGTACAATATAACATTGATAAGAACAATTTTATAATGATTTCATATAAATACTTACACAACGGAAATGTACATATTCTATATTGTAAAAAATGCCTACTTTCAAAACAGCAACTCACAAGACCCCAAGGAAGAGCTGTGGGCCGTTAACGTTAGTTAACGACGACTCTTCGTAACGATTGTTAACGACGACCCTTCATTATCGATCCTTAACGATTTTTTAAAGACAAAATACATTGTTTGGTCGGAAAATCCTTAAAGATGAGAAAAAACTTAGGACAGATTATTTCTCTTGATAAAAAAACCATTTTAGACACCATTCATAAACTTATCTTCCTGAAAAAAATCTCAAATTATTTTGCGAAATTTTTTAAAAAAACGATCGTTTTTCGATTTTTAAATTCCAAAATGGATCGTTTTTTTAAAAACGAACCGAAAAACGATCTTTACCCTAGGTACCGAAGAACAATCGGACTTGTGAAATCAGTTTTACTGCCTGTTGTTTAAATACCTTAAAGGTTACTGACAAATCATCTAAATATTTTGTAAAAAACTTTTGAGAAATCCAAATTTAAAACTTAGAATATTTTGAAACAATGATGAATTCACGTAAATAATCATTTTAAGGTATCAAATATTTTCAACAAGTATCAGTTTTCGGGCCAAATATCAAAATCTAGAAGTTTTAAGTAAAAATTAAGAAATTTGAAATAATTAAGCTAAGAGTACGAATCAGTTTGAAGAACTATGCGAGTGATAAAATTCTAATGGTTTTTTTGTCTAAAATAGACCCCCCCCCCTTAGAGTTGAGATAGGGGAACGTGATACATATTATGGGACCATGATTCATTCAGCGTTCTGACCCTTTTTTGCCTTATATAGTCTGTGTTTGTGTGGTACTGCTTGCTTAAGCTGCTTTAAAGTCGACCCGGTACTATAAATGAACGGGAGAATACAGTTATTTAGGTTTAGAAAAGTTTGCATATTTTAAGTTGCTGGAAATGTGTAGTTATCATATTTCGCGCACTTTTTGTTTTTGTCCTTTTTTGCTAAATAACTGGATTTTTCAATAAATATTTGAATTTTTGCAAGTTTGCTGATTTTTTGCAGATTATTAAGTAGAGTGCAAGGGCTCTCCGAAAATGTATCATATTTTATAGATTTGTATCACCCCCACCCCATCGTGAAAGTGTTAAAGGGATTGTAAAGGCATACACGAGGTGATTAAGCTTCTCTAGGACTCTCTCCGATGTGTTAAAACTGTTAGTCGCAAAATATATTTCAAACCTGAAACAAGGATGATTTAATTACAATGTTTCTGGAGTTACAAAATGCGAGTATTTGTTTTAATAAAAAAAAATAGCAAATGATCAACTTTAAGAAACACAAATGGTAAAGGATACAGTTTAAGGTTGTTGAATGAGCGGAGTAAATATTTATAAACTGATAAGTTGATAATATCGAAATAAAGTTCCGAACATTGTTTGTTGCTAGTATTATGATTGTATTTGAAAGGGTAACTTACTATTAGGTCTTAACACACTCGAAATAGAGAGGTGATTGATTTGTGACTAAAACATAATTGTCTTCTGAAAATAATTGCTTGTTTAAAAAAAAGAAGAAGGATTGTTTTCACTTGGAATTTTAACTTATTTCACTTTAAATTCTGTAAAAACATCGAATGTTTATTTTTATCATTTTAACCAGCAAAGCTAAAGGTTTCAAACCATAAATACTTTTTCTTTCTTTGAAAATATTTTCTTTTCAAATTGTGATGCACACAGAGCTGAAAACTTTAGAATGGTTGATATCGAGATTAATGCTTGATCCTCTCTTTTTCTTAATAACAAACCTAATCTTGTACTTGTATCCTGAAAAGTGTATAAAATTTAACCAATCAGAGTCGTGTATAAAAATCCGATAAATTTGAAATTTTGCGCGCCATTTAAGATTAATGTACAGGATTGATTTTTCTCTACTATATCCAAGAAAGAACGGTTTAAGACGAAAATAAAAAGTGTGTCCATTGGATACTCAGATTAAGTAATTGGGATTAAGGATATCTCATTCTAAAGTTTTCAGCTCAGGAGCTTTTTTTTCAATGAATGTTAAGATACAGGGTTTTCCGCAAAGTAAGACTGTAAAGACGACCCAAAACTCTAAAAAATTATGATTTAAAGCATGATTTTTGGTTTCTGCATTTAATTGTGAAATTTGTTGGTTTAACAAATTATTCAGCAGAGAAATAATCCAGTTTTGGTCTACAAGGAAAACTGAATGCAAGATAACAGAGTAAACTAATTCCGTACAATCATCTATAAAGTCTCATCTTTGGGGGTTCCGCTCGAATTCTGAATGAAAAATCGGCTTTTTCTCCGGCTACAGTTGTCTTTGAAAAGTAAGACTAATACCAATCAACAGCGAAAAGGCTGTTTAGTTTACAATGAAATTACCTAAATAAGTGAACGGTCCCTTTAAAAATACCAAAATGAATCGGTCACACCGCTCTGAACTTTAAGATACTGATGTGAATCGGACATACCGCTCTGAACTTTAAGATACTGATGTGAATCGGACATACCGCTCTGAACTTAAAGATACTGATGTGAATCTGACATACCTCTCTGAGCTTTAAGATACTGATGTGAATCGGACATACCGCTCTGAACTTAAAGATACCAATGTGAATCGGGCATACCGCTCTGAACTTTAAGATACTGATGTGAATCGGACATACCGCTCTGAACTTAAAGATACCAATGTGAATTGGACATACCGCTCCGAACTTTAAGATACTGATGTGAATCGGACATACTGCTATGAACTTTAAGATACCAATGTGAATCGGACATTCCGCTCTGAACTTTAAGATACCGATATGAATCGGACATACCGCTCTGAACTTTAAGATACTGATGTGAATCGGACATACCGCTCTGAACTTAAAGATACCAATGTGAATCGGACATACCGCTCTGAACTTTAAGACACTGATGTGAATCGGACATACCGCTCTGAACTTAAAGATACCAATGTGAATCGGACATACCGCTCTGAACTTAAAGATACCAATGTGAATCGGACATTCCGCTCTGAACTTTAAGATACCGATGTGAATCGGACATACGCTCTGAACTTTAAGATACTGATGTGAATCGGACATACTGCTATGAACTTTAAGATACCAATGTGAATCGGACATACCCCTCTTAACTTAAAGATATTGATGTGAATCGGACATACCGCTCTGAACTTAAAAATACTGATGTGAATCGGACATACTGCTCTAAACTGAAAAGTCACTTAAAACCAGGTCAACAGTCCCTTTAAATAATTTATTATAGATGAACCGAGTGAGACGAAATTCTCTGGTACCAATGGGACAATTTAGGTTTGTTAAGGAATTGAGGATTTACCACAAACTCTGACTTTTAATTCTTTGCAACACAATGTCGTAAATCTTTCAAGCTATAAATTTTGTTAGATCAAATAATCTTAGTTTAAAAATATAAAGGTTTAATCCACATGGTTGCAAAGATATAGATATTAGAAAATTTGAGATTGTGACAAAGACTAAATTCTTTTGATCATAAAGTATTAATTGTTCGTTTTTCACAATTCAGTGTGCTTTTTTAAATAGACTGTATGCGTATTTTCAAGATGGCAACCTATTAAAAACAGGTTTTTTGAGGTATCTCTGCAAAGGTGACTTTTGGCATCACTGTGAGTTGCTTTTTTAAATATCTTCTGTCTATTTTTGGATAGCTTACCAAAATTAAACTGAAAAAAAATGAAAAGAAAAAACATACAAATCAATGGAATTTGCCCGATTTCTTAGTTTTTTTCATGAATGGTTCATTTCTTTTGATACCGTTATGAAAATTAACGGATTTGTTTAGTTTGTTATCAGAAATTTCTGTTAATTTCAATAACTGCCATTTGTTTATCGTTTCCGAGCCCTACAATTGAGTACAAAAGTGGTTTACTATACGATACATCAAATAATTTTGTTATATTATCAATTCCAAATAGATTCTAGTATACAATAGATTGCAACATAGAATTTGTACACTCTCAGTACAGTTGTATTCTGACATCATAAGTGTCATTTCAATTTTTGTGTCCGACAAAATAATTAAGTGCAATTTTAAGTGTTCTTTATTTTCTGTTTTTACACTTTTTTATTTAATCTTGGAAAACAGATCAACTATTGTGAGAAAAATTAGTTTTTCTTGTTATATTTGACACTTGCGAAGTCGTGTACAATTTGTTCATTTCTTTGTTGCCACCTATTGCAGTTGATAATCTATTTGTCATTTGATCCATTCCTTTTATCATTGGGATTTACTCTGTAAACTCCAAGGTTGTATTATAAGGTTTGTTACTCCTGATGCGCTCCAATGTACGGAAAATTTCGTCTCCTAAGATAAATAAATAAAAACCTAATATGACGTCACACAGATAGGGTATTATGGGGGGGGGGCAGCCAAAATGAGTTCATTCCATAAACCTATTATTTATGTCAGGCTATTTTTAAGAAGTCTCTAAGTTGTTTAAATCTTATGTTTTAGTTAAGAATTTCGACCAAAAACCCACTATTTCATTGAAAACTCTTATAATAGGATTATTCAACATGCTACTCTGACTAAATTAAGGTTTTGGGGTGCTGCTGGAGCCCCTAAATTGTTTCTGTATGGCTGTTAGAGTCCATTTATATATTTAGATTATCCCAAAACCCGTGTTCTTTCTTGTGCTTTTGCTACAAAATATATGGATTTCTTCCGAGATACTTGCTGTAACAAAGACGACATCTGAATAAATTGCGGGATTACAGGATCTATTCAAGGATAAATTTTTGAACAGGAAAAGTAATTATAAATTGAAATTATTATTAATCATGATGCTAGCTACAATTCATACAATGTTAGTAAATCAAAAGATTTTCAGAATACATTCATTTTGTCCATTCTCAACATGAAATACAATATCTATCTATTTTAGTAAACGACATTTTCCGTACATTGGAGCGCATCGAGGGTTTCCAACCTTATTATACAACCTTGGTATTCTCTGAAGATAAAATCAATTTAAACTAGACATACAAAGGAGAGACTGAAACTTCTCAAAGTTAAAATGTCAAAAATCTAGATTATCAAAATAAGGAAAATAATAACTTCAAAGTTTTAGAATTGTGAATATCTAGATCTTCTCTTTTTGTAAATCTAAAGAATATTCTAATCAAACAAGAACAAGTAATTTTGCAAAAAACGAGCTTTTTTCTTGAACTTAAAAAAAGTTACAATTTAAAGACATTGATATTCAAGAAATATTTGATATTTCAACGGTTTTCGATATTTGGAATTTTTATGAAGCAGCGAGGCCTGAAAAAGCAAATATTTTTATAAAAAAGAAAAAGAATATTTTTTATCTTCTTTATAAAAAAACATATTAACATAATAAGCAGGTCGTGAAAAAAAAACAAAATTAAATATACTGTTTTGTTTGATGGCAAAATTTTATATATTAAAACATGCCTGCTTTAAGATGTGTTTTTGTAGAATTATAACAACTTTGGCTTAAACTTAGCGATGAAATGTTTCATTTTCCTCATTTTGTGAATTTAAAGTTTTGATGGTTTAACTTGTAAAAGTTTCTTTGAAGTAATATTTTATTGTAAATTTAGTTTAAATTGATTTTATAATCCGTACCACCTATACCAACGTACCCTGTACCCTGTACAGTGTACAGTGGTAAACAGAAATAGTAGGGTTCTAGTAGTTTTTTTACTAAATGTACCTAAGGTCAAGGATGCTTTAATTGTAATTGTTATAACTGACATATTTAAATGTCGAAGGACCGAATTTAATAAATTTGAACTCAGCCGCTGAACTACCGAGGGACATACTGCCGGTTTATTTCTTGAATTACATTTTTAAAGTTAAATAATCACAAGAATTTGAATCGGCGATTCAGGATTTGAACCAGCGATAGGCAGTTCAGCGACCTCTCCATGTAATAAAATTCGGTCCCAAAGGCCTAATTTAAATAATTTGAGCAGTGTCTCAAATTTGAGACGCGGCTCAAACATGGTTGGTTCTACTTAAAATTGTATTAAGTGTTTCGAGATTTGAGCCGGCGCTCAATGGAACCAGCTTTTGACACATTAATAAAATGATAAATTTTTGACTAAAGATAAAAGACAGTTTTTTTTAAATCCGTCCATTTGAATATTTGTATATTTGTATATTTTTATATTTGTATATTTTTATAATTGTATATTTTTATATTTGTAATTTGTATATTTGTATATTTGTGTACTTGTATATTGTATATTTGTATATTTGTATATTTGTATATTTGTATATTTGTATATTTGTATATTTGTATATTTGTAGGTCAAGTATAAGGAGATTCTCAACACGATACAAGAGAAGACCTGCGGATAGAACAAGGTAACAAAATGCAGAAAAACTATTTAATTTAAAGTTATTTTCTGTAAGAGGAAAATATGGTTTGCACAAATTTTACTGTTAAGTATTGGGACTGTTTCTTATTAAGAAGAATTGGTTTGTGCACAAAGCATGTTTTGTGCAGACTATTTAAAATCATAATATAAGTTTAACAATTGTCTAAGTATTCCACAGTTTTATCAGTTGCTTGGCACCCTAAGAAAAGAACAGACCTCTCTTATAGCACACGGGCAGCCGTAGTACATTTGAATTACTGAGCCGGGTCAACCTTCCCGTTCCCCGTTTGTACTGTATCGCCCGGACATTGGGTAAATAAAGCAGATACTCAATATGACTAGCCGGTGCAACAAGGTTGACGCGGTCTGACTTTAGGTTGAATTTACTTTTACTGAAGGGTCAAGGGTGTGTAAACGGTCCCGGCTTTCAAATATGGTGTCTTGTAATCCAAATATGGTTTCTAGTAATCCAAATAGGGTTTCTAGTAATCCAAATATGGTTTCTTGTAATCCAAATATGATTTCTAGTAATCCAAATATGGTTTCTAGTAATCCAAGTATGGTTTCTAGTAATCCAAATATGGTTTCTAGTAATCCAAATATGGTTTCTAATAATCCAAATATGGTTTCTAATAATCCAAATATGGGTTCTAGTAATCTAAATATGGTTTCTTGTAATCCAAATATAGTTTCTAGTAATCCATGGTTTCTTGTAATCCATGGTTTCTTGTAATCCAAATATGGTTTCTAATAATCCAAATATGGTTTCTAATAATCCAAATATGGTTTCTAATAATCCAAATATGGTTTCTTGTAATCCAAATATGGTTTCTTATAATCCAAATATGTGTTGTCCAATACACCAGAAAAATTCCTGAACTGTCCCATTAAATGAATCCTTCTTTACATTGTTCCTTGTAAAGTGTTGAACAACTTTTCCTCTGGTTCCGGCACTCAAAACTTTTGAATGGGTCCATCTAGCTGATCATGCTCGTTTACACATTGTAAACGAACTGACTTAATCCAGTCAGCTGCTTTTAAGCATCCCCCCCCCACACACCACACACACACAAACACAACGAAAGAACACAGATTACACGAATACAGATTACACAGACATTATTTGAGCTTAATCTCTAGTGGCCCTCCATTCAAAATGGGGAATGTCCGATTTACAACTCTGAACATCTGACTGGTCATCGAAGCCAGAGAACTTAATGTTTTTATCTCTAAAAAATTGGGTTTAAATGTGAAAAAACTACTTATTAAAAGATGTATCCTAAAAAAAATTAAATAAATTAACATAAATAATTTGAAATGTAAATTCTTTTGAGAGCTGAACATAATTGTTTTAAAGGGAATATGATAATGTTTTATTAGAATGCAGCAAAACTATTAAAAATTTTCAAAAATAATTCAGTAGCTCATGAGATTGTTTTAAAAATATATATGACTATATATTAATAAATTAAAGATATTGCTGGAAACGGAAATAATTCTAGAATTCTAAAAATAACATCACACCACTTGAAGTGTAAACTAATTTTTTTAACCCTGCTACCCAGCAAACCAATATTCTCTACCCTGCTACCCAGAAAACCAATATTCTCCACCCTGCTACCCAGCAAACGAATATTCTCCACCCTGCTACCCAGCAAACCAATATTCTCCACCCTACTACCCAGCAAACCAATATTCTCCACCCTGCTACCCAACAAACCAATATTCTCCACCCTGCGATGGGAACATGCTGAAGAAGATGTTACTTTAGACATTTTACACAGAACAACATTAAAGTTTCTGCAATTTCACAAAGTCGCAGAATTTATCTGACTTTGATTTCAGTAAAGGCACTGATTTTTTGCCACAAATTCAAAATTTCTAAACCCTATATCTTTGCAATCAGATAGTGTATACATTTGATTTTTCAAATTCATAGTTTATGATATCAAGATCTACAACATTGGTTTGCAAAGGTTGGGGTTTAAAAATTTGAGTTTGTGACAAAAACTTAGTTGATTAGTATCAACATTGCAATGCTTTACTAGTCAGATGACGAACAAGCCTCATAATTATTTACCTGACATCTTTATCATCAGAATTTCAGTCAGAGGACATTGAACAAATGGCCTAGTAGTTGAGTGCAATGATGAGCATTGAATCGGATAGTTTTTTTTTCAAACTTTTGAGGTTTTTGGACTATTAAAAGGCACTACAAAAATTTTTTATGTTTGCTGGGTATGAAATTAAAAAAAATAATTTTACAGATTTTTATCGTTTTGTTTATTCTAGAACTGCACGTGGTTTGCTGGACACCCAGGATGGAAGTGGTCATCGAGTGAGACATGGTTCAGATCCTAGATTCAGACCCACTGTTCATAGATCCGACTACTCTTGTAAACTGGAGTCCTCTCACAGGCTGGACCTCCCTCACAATCTCAGACTGGACTCCGAGCGCGAAGTCCACTTTGAGGCCCACAGAAACAGTCAAATTCTCAACGTTGACTGGGAAAACAGTATTGGAGGACAATATGGAAGAACGATGGGACCGTATTTGAACAGAAAAGGTGTTAGAAGTCTAGAGATGGATGACAGCTTTTATAATGTCATGAATTTGACACATCGGAAAGATTTTAACAGCTGTAATTTTCTAGATTTCGATCCTAATCCTGAAGATATTGCGAAACAAAAATCTATCCTAGATCCCGTTGAACTTGTTGAAACAGAAGTTAAAGTGATTCCTTGCCTTTTGGAACAAAAAGTTGAGGCATCACTAGAAATAGATTTGAAATCATATTTTCCCAAAGATCCTTGCTTGGAGTCAGACTTATACAAAATTCCCAAATCAATAAGTCAGCTGAGGTTAGAATTTTACGAAGTTGACAAATTTCTAGAAAAATTACCTATGCTAGATAAAAAATCAGAAATTCAGATATTTAATACTGGAGGTAAAGCATCAGATGTGGCTAAAAATGTTAAAAGTCATAATGCCACATTAATGCCGAGACTAGAAAATGTGGAAAATGTTGATAGTATAGAAAAGCATACTCAGTCATTTGAAACCCTTAAAACTTCCACCAATAATAGGATGACAGACTTTGGACATTTTACAAGGTTACAAGAATCCAGAAATACAGATGACCTGTTACCAAAAATCGAAAAAATCAATGCAACGTTGCCAGAATCTAAAACAGAAGAGGTAAGGTTACCAAAATTAAAAAATATAGATGAAATGTTACCAGAATCTAAAAATAGAGACATCTTGTTAACAAAATTAGAAAATATAGACGAACTTGTTACCAAGGCCCAGAAATAGAGAATCAAACTAGAGACGCACTGTTACTGCAATCTAAAACTAAAGATGAATTGTTACTGTAACCGTCTGGTTTCCATAGTTCGAAAATAGAAATCCTATGTTCTCAGAATCCAGAAATACAAGCGTTCTGTCACAAGATTCCAAAACTATGGATGCATTGTTCCCAGAATCCAGAAATACAAGCGTTCTGTCACGAAATTCCAAAACTAAGGATGCATTGTTCCCAGAATCCAGAAATACAAGCGTTTTGTCACAAGATTCCAAAACTATGGATGCATTGTTCCCAGAATCCAGAAATACAAGCGTTCTGTCACAAAATTCCAAAACTAAGGATGCATTGTTCCCAGAATCCAGAAATACAAGCGTTCTGTCACAAAATTCCAAAACTATGGATGAAGTGTTCCCAGAATCCAGGTATAAAGACAACCTTTTACCAAGATTCTAAGATATAATTAAACTGATACCAGAATCTAGAAATATCGAGAATAACAGAGACCACTAATTGAAATTAACGGAAACCGGAAAAATAAATAATTTGCTACGGAAATCGGAAATCTCAAATCACATGAATCAAGAAATATCAAGAAAGAAATGTCTACTGCAGAATATACAGTTTTGTTGCACCTATGTAGAAGCAAAACTGTTGCTATTCTGCAAGCCAAAACAGAGTCCACACAATTAGTTGAATTATCAGGGAAAAATATAACTTCAGACCGATTAGTCCTCACAGATCTGTGAAGCAATATATTATCCATTGATTTTTAAAAAGTTTATTTTTGTAAAAAAAAAGAAATTTAAATAATCAACCTATCCTTCAACAATTTGATTACGATCTTATTCGTATTTCTTAAATTTATGATTCTTTATTTTTTTACCTCGTGATGTACAGGGTTACCCACTAAAGTTCAGACTTCACTGACAATTTAATCAGCCTATTTATATTCATGATTCATTCCAACAGTATTTTAGGAAATCAATCAATGAAAAAAGAAAACTCCGCTAAATATTTGGAATTAGACCTTGAGGTTTTTCCAAAAGTGCATTTTCTCATAAATAAATGTTCTTATTGTGTTATTGGGCGATGTTAATTGTATACTGTAAACTCTGTATTCTTTGTGTTGTTACAAAATTATGATTCAATCTGAACTTTAAAAAAAAATTTTTTTGTGTTGTTTGACTTTAAAGACTTCCTAAAACACGTTAAAAAATGTATAGTCCTCTTTACAGTCACAGTTTTGACGGTTATCTTTGGAGAACATTTTTCTCTGTGTTTAAGATTTATATTTTACCTTCTTAAAAAGTATTTATTTCAACATTGAATTATTAAAATGTATTTCTTGATTATAAAACCCTTTGTAAAGTAATATCTGGAAAACAAATTATGTTAATTTTAAACTTTTTCATAATAAAAATTACCATCGGAATCATCATAAGAATGGCATTACCTCTATCAAACCTGTAGACAAAAATTAAAAAATTATTTGTATTCATTATTAAAAAATGATTTAGAGAATAAATGATTTCGACGCTGTTTATTTTATGTCAAGTTTTTGTCAAGTGTATCCCTACACTTCAAAAAAAGAATCTTCGTAAGCGTGGCAATGGCATGTCCAAATTTCAACGGTATCCTTAAAAAGCATTGAATTATCAAGAATGAATAATATATTAATGTCCCAGCGGGAACTGCGCCCCCCCCCCCCCCCCAAGTTTAATACAGGACTATACAAAAGTTTAATCTGAGTACAGTGATAACCAGAAAACTGAAGAATAGGAAGACGACATTAAAGCAATTCTGAAGTGCATTTGATGTTGTTACAAAGAAAATAGCTTCACCAGTAAGTTATTGATTCACTTATTATGCGAAACGAGTCTGTTAACACTGCACAATTGCTGTGTTTAATGTTCTTTGGACTATTTAAAGTAAAAACTTGAGCCAGAGTTTTCTGGTCATCACTGTACAGAATCTAAAATGTTCCCTCCTAAGGATTAAGCAACTAACCAATTTATGCAAACAGAAAATCTACGAAGGGGAAATGTTCTGGAAAAAAGGCACAATAGACAAAATCAGAAGATAAGCACTCGTGAGTCGTGGCTTCGGGGCCAAGTTTCTATTCATTAATATTCCAATAGAATTGGCTGTAGGATAATATATTGACATATTGGAGAAAAAATATTTTGAAAGCTTAAGTCAGAAAACTAAATTATTTACGATAATTAATTTTGATGTACTTAAGCTATCAAAGTAATAAAATTGTTTTGCGACTGTTGAGTAAAAACGCATTTGTTAATGGCACCAATCAATTAAAAATTGTTTTAGGCGAAAAATTGAATTTTCCTGAAAAAAACTTTTAATAATATAACTTATAAAGATGTTGAGATGTATTAGACCAGCTCAAATGAAACCTAATTATGTATCTAGCTAAAAAAAAGATTTTGTTTACATTTAACAATAATGTTTAATGTACAAGCTAAAAAATTGTCGTCAGTTTGGCTAATTAAACTATATAATCGCCACAGGCTACTTGGACTGAAATTGTCTTGTTTCCTGCAAACATCTGTTCAAAAAAGTTAAAAAGGGATAGCAGAGTATTTATTCAATTATTCGGTTTTAAAGTACCCTTTTTAAAGGACTTTCATAAAAGGTCAGATAAAATTACACATTTTACTCCAAAACCCTGGGTGCAGCCACCCCTCCCTCCTAAAAGGGTACCATTGTGAATCGGGCAGGTCATAGAGAGTTATTTAAAATTACTTCTACGGCCCATAATTAGATAAACGTTTTATACAAAAAAAAACATTAAAGTATGATGTATATTTATTCCGATTGATTACATTTAAAACATTATCATTCGCGGCAAGCAAAGTTGTTTAAATCAAAAACAAGAAAAGACGACATTTACATATTCAATAGAAAATGTCGTTTTTTATCAAACACGCAGAGAGAGAGAACAAACGCTCACATTTATCACATAATAATTAAGAAACCTAAACCATACAAGAAGATTATTGTTTCAAAAATAGTTTTTGTTTGTTCAAATTTCTAGGATAGTTTTATACAGGCATATAACGATTCAAATCAACTATTTATTAAAGATGTATTTTATGATACAAAATGTAATGCCGAGAATTGCAGCAATTTGTAAAGTTCTTCCAAAGAACGTTTATTTAAAAGTTATTTTGAAAGAAAAGTTTTAAAAAGTAAAATTTATCCAGAAAATGTTCAGATTTATAGATTACATTTTTAAGAGTATACTTAAATACTTGAATATATTTGAAGCTTTAAATAAAAACAAATCAGAAGAAATGTTTTTAATGTAAATTGTACAATAAGTAGTTTATTGAACAAAATTTATAATTTAAAGGAAATCTTTACTTTCAAAAATATGTACACTCAAACTGCCTTTGGGGCAAATAGTTTTAGTCAAGAATCTGCTGATAAATGTAAAAACACAGCTGATTGATGTATAAAACCAACTGATGTAAGTAAAGAAGAAGCTGATTGATGTCAAGAAGCGGCAATTTAAGTGTTTTGACGCATCTGATTGATGCCAAGAACCATTTTTAAGTTTTAAACAGCAGTGGATTGTTGCCAAAAGCTGCAAAATGTCAGAAGTGTGAAAAATGTCAATTTGCCAGTAAGATATGATGTATGCAAAACCATGTTGACATCGGCAAGATGAAAAATGAGTTTATGGACTTAAAAACCCTATGTAAGAACACAAGTTATCAGCGAATGTTTTGCACAACAACAGCTGATAAAGGTATCAGCTGATGTTTTGCACAACAACAGCTGATAACTTTCAAAAATATTAATTGGCAAGAAAACCAAAATTAATGGCAAGAATCAATTACTGCAATGTGATATTTGGCAAGAGACTATTAATTGCCGACAGTCGACATTTGGCAAAATCGAGCAAACAACATTTAACACCAGTTGGACATTAAGCAACTATACTGATCTAAACACGGCAAACTAGACATCAATTTATCAGCTTACGGCAGACGATAAGAGCTTCTGATGTGTCTAAAATGGGGAAATAAATTGGAATTGTAGAAAGGGATTACTCCCACTCGCTGACATACATCTGACGACTAGAGGGATGTGATGGAGATGGATATTGTCGAATTCTCCTGAAAAAAAAGAAAGATTTTATGTTTCACTAGCTGCTCAAGTTATGTTAAAGCAATTTTGAAATTTGTAATTTTGTGTTGATTTTTGTTACTAGTGAACGCGTTGTACTCAACTCAATATCTAATGTAGCCACTTTGAAATTTAAGGAGAAGTGCTTTATCCCTATATTCTATAGTACAAGGTATACCCACCGCGGGATGTTGAAATGGAACCGAATGAAGATCAATGTTTAAACCCGAGATACGCAACACAAAAGTTCTGATTTTGGAGCAGTTATTTCTAAAATTGTCCGATCTATTAGATCAGAATTTAGCGTGAGACATCTAGCGGCCCGGGCCAAACTAACGTCCCCCTAAGTACGTCTTTACTCTTTAGGAAGAGATCTGTTTAAACGTTATTAGGGAAAGAAAGGGTTCGAATACATACCCATAAGGTAAAGGAAGTCGACCATAAATATGAGAATAGTCAGATTCATAATCTTAAAACAAAATATGAATTAGTTTATAAAAATAGATCTTGCAAACCTGAACATGCTGTTCGTAATAATGAACTTACCAAAAATATTTTCAAATCATGATGAACATTTTCTTAGGACTTGCGAATGTTAGGAATTTAACAATTTGCGAGATATTCTTTTCATAATTTCGAAAAAAATGTTCATAATATCGAACAAAATGTTTATAATTTTTAACAAAATGTTNTACCAAATTTAAAAAAATTAAGCTTCAAAAATGATTAAAAAATTATCTACATGGTACAATATTGTGCGGTATACAGGCTTACCAAAAAAATGCCCGAGGTCAAATTGACCAACATCGTCAAAATGGGGTCGCAACGACGTCAAAATGGCGACGTCAGCTGATTTCTTCTATTTTGGCCAGAAGGATTCCCACTCGGTGAAAGCTGTGCAGGAAAATATAAAGTGCAAAGACAGAATTCAGAAAAGAAATGACTAAAATCTAATTTAGAAAATTAGGTGAAAAAGGAAAGATAAAATAAATGTGTACTTTGAACGACAAAGCCGGAAACTTAAGACCGAGTATCGTAATAAAACCTATAGTATCGGAAACCGGTTTCATGAATGGGGTCGTTAAGCAAATATTTTTGCTAATGAAATTTTATTTTATGTGGGATTGTTCACAATTTCTCATTTTTCTAATTAAATTAGATTAAAATCTACGCAAATGCAAAGACCCCAAAAAGAAAACTCGTTCAACGATACTCTCTTAAATATTCGGCTTTGCAGTACATTGTACAATGCACAGAGTTTACTGTACAAACATAGTGAGAAGGAAATTGGTGCAGTGCTGTTCTAGTTTAACCCTTACCTCCTGAAACTAAAGGGGGGGGGGGCATTTTATGCTTTTCAGTAGAAGCGTTCACCAAACAAATAATTGAATTATGAATCTTAAATTATAATGAACATTCTGTAGGAAGAACATTATATACTTCAACCCTTCTCAGATCAAAAGATCGGTATCACAGGATCAGAACTTATTAAAAAATACTTTACAGCTTGTTTACTTCCCGAATATATTTTACAGCTTGTTTACTTCCCGAATATATTTTACAGCTTGTTTACTTCCCGAATATATTTTACAGCTTGTTTACTTCCCGAATATATTTTACAGCTTGTTTACTTCCCGAATATATTTTACAGCTTGTTTACTTCCCGAATATATTTTACAGCTTGTTTACTTCCCGAATATATTTTACAGCTTGTTTACTTCCCGAATATATTTTACAGCTTGTTTACTTCCCGAATATATTTTACAGCTTGTTTACTTCCCGAATATATTTTACAGCTTGTTTACTTCCCGAATATATTTTACAGCTTGTTTACTTCCCGAATATATTTTACAGCTTGTTTACTTCCCGAATATATTTTACAGCTTGTTTACTTCCCGAATATATTTTACAGCTTGTTTACTTCCCGAANTTAACAACGAGAATAAAAGTAATGATATAATTTCTCCCGCCTTAATTCTACTCCCCATTACAAAAACCAGTAATTATAATACAAGAAAGTTATTTTCTCAGCTAACATTAAAAACGTTCAACTTCCAAAGTTTGCTCACATATTTTACTGGTAATCCCAAATAGTCCTAGGGACCCCTCCCCCTCTATTTCCTAATTGTGATACAAATTTGTAACATTTGATATACTATTAGAAAGCCCTTGGGCACTTTTAAAAAATCTGCAAAAAAATCGCAAATTTGCAAAATTTCAAATAATTATCGCAATATCAAGTTATGAAACAAAAATGAGCAAAAAGTGCGCGAATTATGATAAATTATACATTTTTGAAACGGCGAATTCAAATATGCCAAAATATTTGCAAAATTTTCAAAACCTAAATTTGAACTCAAGGAAAACTGAAAATGTGCAAATTCTCTTCACAAAAGTCTTAACAAAACTTCTTCGCAAAAGTTGTACTATCTGCTTTATTTTGTTTAAGGTTTTCCTAAAGAGCTATAAAATGTCGAAATCCAATGGCCGGAATTAGGTCTAAATATAGATTTAGTCTATCCGGTAAGGTAGAATAAGGCATTACGGCAGTTTGCCTGAGGACTCATGCAGTTGGTATAAAAGCCCAGCTTTGAGCCTAATGTGCAAGTTAGAAATGTCAAAAAACGTGAGGGGAGAGGGGGGTTCCAGGGACCCACCCCCAGCTGGAATAGGGTTTAAATAAAACAATACATACAATCTTGAAAACAATTTTAGAAAGACTAAAATAATTTTATTGAAAAAATAATAATGATACCTGAACCCTGCATAAATAGGATCCATAGCTCCTTTCCCTTGCATCATTCCTTAGTTAAATTAAAAATTGAATTTAAATCATGCCTGTAAACAATTAAGCTTACATCATCTTAAATATCAAGTATCATCCATCAACTATCATACATACAAAAAATAAGTATCAATTATTCTTTTTTTAAGTTTATGGATTTGACAGGTTAGTTCAAGAAATTTAAAACTCCAATAATAAAATTCGATTAAACTTAGTTTTTAGAATTGTTTAATAGTAAATTGGTAAATTTTTATTGCGTGGAATGCAGCAAAGTTTTGTGAGCCGCGATTTTTTCTGCAAATGGAACCCCTATTGGCGCCTTTAGATAAGATTAGCTTACTTTGATTCTCGTTCTTTCTGTGATTTCGACTTTGCAAAGTTTGGAATGCGAGCTCTTAGTCCGCAATAGTACGGGTCATCTGAACATAAACAACTAATTAATTTCACTAATCAAATAATGTGGCCAAAATCGGAAGAAAAAAATTGGAATTGATGAAAATGGTACAAGTCAAATCAGAAGAATAAAGGAAGTGTTAAGCTAGGATTGGTAGTTAAACTGAGAGTACAGTTTTATAACATAAAATATCAGGATTCATTTGTGATATCTATAAACTTGTTTGTTCTATTATTGCTAAAAATTCGCTTTTTAAAAATCTCAAGGCTGGATAAGGGGGTTTGCTCACAAGATTCGATTTTTTGAAATAATTAAATAACCCGCAAGACAAAGTATTAATAATTCGGCTATAAACTTGTATCAAGTTTTAAAAAGTTGGAAAAAATAAAAAGTTAAAGACTATCATCGTAAACGGTTAATTTTAATTAGATATCAGTTTCTGGAATATTCAATTGTTATCCAAAAGGTTTCACATAAATTTCCATTGAATTTCATTTTATATACGACATTTGAAGAAATTTGAAGAAACCTGCAAATAAATCTTAAGAAAATAAATAATTCAAGATTTCTAAGTCGCTCCCTTTAAAAGGTTTACTAATCGCGGAATTTCTTGAATTTCTCAAAATGGGAATATTTACCGTGTTTCTTCTGATGGTTTTTATTCCTTTGCTCGAGCTGTTGTCTGAACTTTGATTCCTCCATTACGCCTCCTCCCTCATAATCGGGCTGTAACAAAGAAAAATGTCGTCTTTTACAGTTTTTTCGAAGATTTCTTGCAGATAAATTGGGAACTTTACCTTGGGGATAGGATGCCCATATCCTCCTGTATCTCTGGGAGGAAGTTTAGGAGGCCGGTCACCTCGCTGCTTATCATGCTTTCCGCTAGACCCGCTAGATCGAGATCCTAGAAGTAAAACAACAAATTAGTAGATTTAGAAACAGCAATGAGAATAATGATTGTGTAGGTGTAACAATCTTTTTTGTTTGTTAAATGGAGTACGGAGTGATGAGACGACATTTTACGCGACACTTCTATTTATGGCCTGGCATGTCCGATTCAAAACGTTACCATTTAAACCTTAAACCTCTGTCTGATTAAAAATTAATCCTTGTTATTTTAAAGCTACATTTTTTATTTCAAGATGAATGAAAATGGAAATTCTTGTTTTTCTAGTTTGCAATGTCTTTTAAGTTTTTTCCAATTGTAGTTTTTCTATAAAAGTGACTTGCGGATTTATGCAACAATAGAAAAAAATAGTCAGAATTTTACACTTTTCCAGAAAATAAAACAAAGATAGATGAAAGTTTAATTCGAGTGCCGGTGGGAGTTGGACATGCCGTGACGCCACACCATCAATAGAAGGTTGCTTAAAGCTACGCATTCAGCACCCTAATATAATTTAAAAATAATCCATCCTTTCCCAAGGATGTAATGCAAGGAAAGTTATTTCAGAAGTGTACACATCTTTTGTACTGAAGTGTACTGTCTCTGGGCGGTAATGTAAACACAGGATGGATGTCAAAGCCTGACATGGGATCCATCTTTTACATAAAAATTCAATGAAATATTCTGGTCATAGGAAACTGTTATGTGAATTATCAAAATTATCAAAATTTAGTGCTTTTAACCTCCTCGGATACTAAACGAACACTGATGCATCTATTCTTGTTTACAAATTCCGCCCAAAGAGAACTGGTTTCAATATGTTCGCAAAGTATACACGACCGCAATGAACTTTCCTTGTCCTTTCCTAACTTTTACTGCATGTGATTAAAAAATGTAGAACTGTGAATATGTTGTGAGCAAGTGGGTTAATAGGTGTCTACCTGCCAGCCAATATATCTGTACTGTTCACTTACAACTGTTTACAAATAAATGACAGGAGTTTAAGGTCTAATCTATAAATAATAAATATGCAGTACGCTCATGGTGTTAACCCGGTGTGGCGTTAATTCTGGGTAAACGTTAAATAATGGTAGTAGATTCTACGCAGCAAATTATCCGCGCATATTTTTGCAGTTTACGGCAATACACGCACAACAGAAATCTGATATTTTAACTGAAATTTTAAAATTATAAATTATATTTATACACTTAAAGTATACACTATATGCTGGTATATAATGTGAGTACAGAAGTAATTAACTATACATTAAACTCTCATTAGTTGCAAGTAGCAGAATCTTAACAATTAACTTATGTAAACTGTAAAGCTGTAATTGGATCCCTAATGTTAAAACAATTGATTTTTACTGTCTGTTGCTCAGCAAAACTTGATTGATTCTCAAATATGAGAAATACTTTCACTTAATTTACTGTTTACATTCACAGAATTGCAGTGTGCGAATGCCGCGGAAAATTTACTGCGTAGAGTCTACTACCATTATTTAACGTTTACCCAGAAATAACGCCACACCGGTTTTTAATGATAGTAAAGGAATAGCGCACATTGTCACTCTACAGTCTACACACACAAACTAATAATAACATTTAAAAACCTCCTTTTCATTACAGAAAGGAAGCCAACATAAAATGCTGAATCCTTATCTCTATGTGGAGTATAAGTAATCTTGAACGCTACATCTCGATATCACATGTGGGCACTTTAAATGTCGACTAGATCACTGCTTAATGTCTCAATTATAGTTATGGACCACAACACAGCGTCAATATACGGGGTCAGCCTGTATATTACCTGCTATACTGTAGGGGTCCTCGTCAGGTATAGGTATACGGGGTCGGGTTCTTATATCAACATTAGATCTGTCATTCTTCACTAAAATAATAATACGATATATTAATAATCTTTATATATACTTTGCTAGTATCTTTTTTAGTTATAAACGGCTGAACCAATCGGGCCCAATTTTTTTTGTTTGAACCTCACATTACCCTTATGAATCTTTATGAATGCTAAGAATTAGAAAAAATTGTCTAAAATTTTTTTACATAAAATTCGGAAAATTCACATAAAAAATTGTAAATCTGGAAAATGTTAACTATTGTTTCATCAAGAGAAAATACTAAAAGATTGAGCAATCATTAAAAGTTCAAATATAGATATAAATGCTAAAAATAGGTTGATGCAAAACACGGCCTTGAATGAATACAGCCGTGTTTAAACTTGATTAAAGGGAATACCTACGTAATTTCAAGAAACCGTCCATATAAAGCACTGCATGTTAGATCACCAGCCCTTTATTGGAGAAACAATGCGGTAGATTTTATTGGCATAAAGATATTATATCTCTGAATTCCCTTCATTTCCTTCACGACTCACGTTTATAAAAAACCCCAGTTGAAATAATGAATATTGAGATGGAGAAACAAGGATAATTGCACTATGTTTGTTCAAACAAAGGTTTAAAGGGTACCATTGTGAATTGATATGTTACTCTATCAATGGAGGGTCACTAGAAATTACGTTTAGAGTTCAGAGATGAGATTTTAAAAGCTTAAACCCGACTAAAACCCGGTCTTTGCGTTTGCTTAGACCCAAGTAAAGCTCAAGTTAAGAACCAATCCTGACTTGGGTTCTATCTAAGCCCGAGTTTGGGTTTTAGTCGGGTTTAAGCTTTTAAAATCTCATCTCAGAAGCATTTATTACACATTACAAAAAAAGGGAATTTAATTTAAGATTACGATTAAACTATTAACTGATTAAACTATATTCTGATTGAATTATTTCAACCCAACCTAAAATATTCAATTCCAAGCTAGCTGCATAAATTTATGCAGACATGCTAGGCCACATTGAGAATGTACGAACAGAAAGAACAAACGAATTTGTTAGATGTATACAATTTAATATTTCCAAGTACACTTATATTCAATGTGTTCGCATTTTTACAAAATTTCTATATTCACGTTGCCAGCAGGCTTTGGATTAGGATAAAGATACGATAGATAAAAATACGAAAATGTTATTATTTATTATTAGCACTATAAAGATTTAACAGGATACGTTAGAAACAGGATAAGTCAAAAACAGGATACGTTAGAAACAGGATACGTTAGAAACAGGATAAGTTAGAAACAGGATGCGTAAGAAACAGGATAAGTCAAAAACAGGAAAATTTAGAAACAGGATATGTTAAAAACACGATAATTTAGAAACAGGATAAGTTAGAAACAGGAAAATTTAGAAACAGGATAAGTTAAAAACACGATAATTTAGAAACAGGATAAGTTAGAAACAGGATAATTTAGAAAGAGGATAAGTTAAAAACAGGATAATTTAGAAAAGGATAAGTTAGAAACAGGAGAAGTTAAAAACAAGATAAGTTAAAAACAGGATAAGTTAGAAACAGGATAAATTAGAAACAGGAAACGTTAGAAACAGGATAAGTTAGAAATAGGATAAGTTAGAACCAGTATAAGTCAAAAACAGGATACATTAGAAACAGGATAGGTTAGAAATAGGATAAGTTAGAAACAGGATAAGATAGAAACAGGATAAGTTAGAAACAGGATAAGTTAGAAACAGGATAAGTTAGAAAACTGAATTGACCTGAATTGACCTAAATTGACCTAAATTGACCTGAAATGACCTAAATTAACCTGAATTAACCTGAATTGACCTGAATTGACCTGAATTGACCTAAATTGACCTAAATTGACCTAAATTGTAACTTGAATTATGACCTGAATTGACCTAAATTGACCTGAATTGACCTGAATTGACCTGAATTGGCCTGAATTGACCTAAATTGACCTAAAATGACCTAAATTGACCTAAATTGACCTAAATTGACCTAAATCGACATGATATTGACCTGAATTGACCTGAATTGATCTAATTTGACCTGAATTGACCTGAATCGACCTAAATTGACCTGAATTGACCTGCATTGACCTGCATTGACCTAAATTATCATAAATTGACCTAAATTGACTTAAATTAACCTAAATTAACCTAAATTGACCTGAATTGACCTGAATTGACCTGAATTGACCTGAATTGACCTAAATTGACCTAAATTGACATAAATTGGCCTAAATTGATTTGAATTGACCTAAATTGACCTAAACTGACTTACAGATGACAGTGACCCTAAACAGAAGATGACCGTGACCCTGACTGACCTGTGCTTCAAGTTTTCTGCGGTCTGGGTAAGCTCTTTTTAACTCTCTTCCAACATTTTGTTGAAACTTTTTCATGTCAAACAACTAAACAAACGTATATTTTTAAACTAATTTCAAGTTTAATGTCAAACTGAAAAAAAAGAATTTTTAAAAACTTTAAAAATGAATTCTAGGTTTATGTTCAACAATTTAAAGTTTACATTTTTGTGAAAAACGCAATTGAATCCCTTAATGGGAATTGTATTCATACGTAGTTTTGAAAAAATTATAAATGTAAAACCATGAAGAGACTTTCTCAATAATATTTTACAAAATTAACTATCAAATAAAAATTTTATATTTTTAAACGAATGAAATCAATAAAATTATTCTAGAGTGTTTATGTCAAATAAAATGACAGACAAACGTAAATGAGAAATCCAAACTTTATTAAAATTAAAGATTTTTTTTTTAAACAATAAAACAATCATGTATAACGACCATTTACAGCTAAAAAAAAATAAGAAATAAATCAAAATTAAAAAATTGAAAAAAATTCTTACTTTTAGAGGTTTATCTAGTTCTAGAGAATTGTTTTGAAGTTTAAGAATCTCCTGAGCAACAGCATTCTCCTCCGTCAGTGCTTTCACAAATACGCTCGCCTAGCGCGCCGACCAGCTTAGTTAAATACAGGTAGTGACGTGGCTTCAGGAGGTTCATTTTGGGATCGTTTTTTTCTTTATATTTTCTTGCAGAGTCAAAATTTAGCATAGTGTAGAGAAACAAATGTATTTTAAATTGTTAATTCCAAGAATGTCAACCCTGGCAGAAGTTATATTGCAAATATTATACAAAAACAATGCAAAAACGAACGCGTCGAGCGTAGGAATCATTTTCGGATCGTTTTAAAATTTTCGATTTTTTTAGATTAAAGATATTGCAAAGTTTAAAAAAGCAAACCTTACGATTTTTTTGAAATTTTAAAGTTTTATTATTTTTTTTTTCTAAAACACAAGTACAATATTGCATGGCGCAAATAAAGGGAATGGCCGAAACAATCAAAAAACCCAATAAATAATCTGATTTTAGAATTAGAAAAAAAGGTTGTGCAAATTATTTGTTAAAATAAAGTCCTTAAAACATATAAAAAATATGTCATTTCGAAATACAGTTTTTCAATTGTAATAAATCCAATTATATTTTAAAAATGAATAAAACTTTTCTTTTCTGTAATCACAAAATTATTAAACTTTTCAAAGCATAACAGCTTAGAACTTTTTCACACCATCAAGAGATTGTTATACAGCAATTTTTGAAATCAAGAAATATCCCATGAGCCAAACAATTTCAAAAATCCACGAAATTTACAAACTGCCATCTTTAAAAAGTTTAATTTAAAAGTGTCGTTAATGACTTATATAAGCAGGTTTTCCTTTGCAATCCGTTTAATTAGTATATTTCCACTGTCGTCCATCTTAATTTTGCAACCCTAAAAAACAAGATTATTTTTAGATGTTAAAAATTTAACTTGAAAATCTTCAAACGTTTCGCCTGACTTAATAAATTGCTCTAGATGGCGGGTTGTTAATTTTTATTTATTTCCTTGTCATTAATTCACTGATGATAACTTAACGGAGCCTTTAATGATGACATTTAAAATCATTTTTTTTAATAAAAAAAATTAAAATGAAAAACTTATTTGACTTACAAGACTAAGCAAGATTGGCTCAATCCTAAGAAAAGTGGTCTAATCCCCCCTCCATGTGCAGGTTAGTTTAGGCTAAGATAGATAGAATACAATGATCGCTCCAATTGAGGGGGAAGGGGGGGGGAGGGTTCCAGGCAGTTTTAGACCGCGGTACTAACGGGCATCGTTTTCAGTTGGAAAGATTTGTTTGGTTTTGAGGGTGCTTTAAAAAAATCTGAAATGTTTATCCCACAGCAAAGTTTGATTTTCTATCAGTTTGCTTTTATTACAAAATTCAATTTTTTTCTTTTAACGAAGATATTAACCAAAATGATTTCCGAAAACGGTAAAACAAAATTATTTTGAAAAACGTTTTGGTTGTGATCTGAACAATGAACATATACAAAAGCTTTAGCAAAGTTATCATGCAAAAAAATTAACGTATTATTAAACATCTGATATTCTTGTAAATCCTCTGAAAAGCTAAAAGTTTATTATAACCTTAAACCGATGCCTATCCCTACTGGATGGGAAATCATCGTAAAATATCAAATAAAAATGACCTGTCCAATATGCCTCTTAACCTCTTCTGTTTTAGGATCTCGCATTGGATTATCAAATCCGGACAACCCTACAACAAATACAATATCAAATTTTTAAATCCGGATAACCCTACAACAAATATAATATTAAATATTTAAATCCGGACAACCCTACAACAAATACAATATTAAATATTTAAATCCGGACAACCCTACAAGACATACAATATTAAATATTTAAATCCGGACAACCCTACAACAAATACAATATTAAATATTTAAATCCGGACAACCCTACAAGACATATAATATTAAAAATTTAAATCCAGACAACCCTAAAACAAATAAAATATCAAATTTTTAAATCCGGACAACTCTACAACAAATACAATATTAAATATTTAAATCCGGACAACCCTACAACAAATACAATATTAAATAATTAAATCCGGACAACCCTGCAAGACATACAATATTAAATATTTAAATCCGGATAACCCTACAACAAATAAAATATTAAATTTTTAAATCCGGACAACCCTACAACAAATACAATATTAAATAATTAAAGCCGGACAACCCTGCAAGACATACAATATTAAATATTAATATCTGGACGACCCTACAACAAATACAATATTAAATACTAGGCTTCCCATTTTCTATATCAACTTTTAATTGTAACTTTATCTGTGAGCATCTTCTCTCTGAACAGTATAAAACAAAAACAAAAAAAAGTTTGCGGATTTCATAATATTTTTTCGCGCATTTTCAAAATTTTACTAAGATAAAAACTTTTAAACAATATTTTTTGAAATTTTGTTCATTCATAAACCTTTCCTGGGGTCATGTTAGGTCCCACACAAAATTTTGGCCCGATCGGTTTAGCCGTTTTGACGTTTATTGGATACTAACTTGAAAACTTTTATGAAAAAAATAAAAATTATTTTTAAAATTGAGATATAATTTTTATGAAAATATTTAAATTAATGCAATATTACAGTTTAGTTTTGTCTATATTTTTATGATTCGTGAAAATATTTATTATAATTAAAATATTAATTATCATGAAACATAATGCCAGCAATGTTTGCGCTTGATATCTAAAACCGATACTATCCACTCCCCTTTCTTTGATCCCCCCTCCCCCCGCCCTTCTCCCCCTCCACACTTCTTTAATCCGATGGGTTTAATCTAATATGTAATTATCGGAAAAATTAATAGCATTAAAAAAACAGTCTCGGTAAGAAAAAGGGGAAGTAGAATTGTGTTAAAATTTTGCAAAAAGTTCATGTTTGAATTTTAAATAACATATGCATAAATAATGCATATTTTATGAAAATAATTGGTTCAAAGCGCGGCGGTCTGGATCGGTCCACAATACCTTGGTAAATAAAGGTCATTTAGAGCCCAAGGAGAATTTAAAAAGGGCTGAAATAGTCCCAGGTATAAAACCGGATTTTAGTCGATTTTGAAAGAGATAAGGACTTTTCAAAACAATGGTTTTAAGCAAAAAAGTTTTAAATGAATACCTGTATTTTTTGCCAAAAGAGTGATCATTTTTAGTAATTTGAAATAACGTGTATTTAATACAATATAATTAAATTATAAAAAGAATCTATAAATGATGAAAAATGTTTTGAATCTAAAAATCTAATCTGTATAATGACCTCTCACTATTGAATAAATGATCGAAAAGTCTGATTGATATTTTTATAATCTAATATAATTGATAAATTCCTTAAAAGGTTAAATTTATTTAAAAATTTGTGTCTGAAGCTCTGAACTATTATTGGGCAACGTTTAATTCTTTTCAATCTGTTAGTTAACCATCTCAATTTGTTAGCGGCGTTGACGCTTGATTTACCAAATATTCTATAACTACCTTTACCGTTAACGATTGTTCAGTTCGTTAATTTAAGGTTTTAGGTATCAATTTGAGAAAATACAGAAGTTGCCATGTAGGTAGACACAGGATTATTACACAATGGATTAAACTTGTTTTTTTATGCAATTTTAACCAAGCTTCTATACATAATTGAATTTTTTTTTGAAATTCTCAGTTTTTTTCGTTAAGTTCTTTTTAAACAGTTTATTTTTTCGTTAAAGATTTAAAAATTAACAGAGTTTTCAAAAACTGTAGTTTGCTATCATAATAATATTGCACAGACCTACTCTAAACTAGTTTATGGAAGGAAGTTGAGACCAATGTTACGCAAGGAGTGGGTTAAGGGTTCGTACGCACATTTACGCACGAGTTATAGGTAAAAATGCATAGCAAGGGAAACTTAAAATCCAAAGATATTTCTTAACATGATTTTATTTGTATTAAAAGTTTATATCATTGTAAACTAAAGTTGACTCATGATGATATTTGAGTCGAAATTAATGTTACAATTTACAAAAATAGTGGGTTTGAGGGCAACGCCCAAAAACTAGTTTATTAGTTGAACAGAGTTTGACCTTTAAACAGTTTATATCTGTTTTTGTCCCAATTTAATTGCAAGAAGTTGCAGGAAAAGGCAATAATTTGCATTACTTGAAATGCGTAACATGCGCAAATTATCCTATGTTTAAGCAAAAATACTTTAAACGACGCAACTAGTCTAGAAGTCAACAAATTTGAACTCGAAATCGGATCAATCAAAGTGCGTAACATTACGCAAGGTCTTATAATGAAGGTTTCCTAATATTCTAATTAGACATGGTCGACTACAATCCCCCNTCCCACCCCACCCACCATTATAAAACTTTTTATTGCAGTAAGATACTTATAAATTAAAATATATCAAACTTTCAAAAGATGTTCCACCTGAGGGCGATAAATTCCAAATATTCCATTTTTATATAACTTGTATTCGCTTGATTTTGTATCACGTTAGTTTTGAATTTAAACGCTCCTTTGTAAATATAAGTAAATAAAACAACACCCCTTCATCCCCTTTTTCCTCCTCCAAGCACATACAAATTAAACCCTCTTTATTGTAGAATGTTGTGCATCCAACTCGTGTTATATATTTGACAATAATTATTTACTCTGGATCGTAACTTTGCCATTTATATGATATACAATCCTATTATGCACTAGCCAACTCTCATGTTCAAAAATAGCAAATAAAATAATCTATATTTGACTTCAAGGTTTGGTCTAAAACTGTATTTTCCATATTATTTTCCTTTTCCCAGAAGGGGGTACACCCTACAGGAGGAGGGGGGGGGGCACAAATAAGGAGAGAAGAAAAAGAAGGTAACAAAAAGTGAAAAAGAGAAAAAGATAACTTTCTTCATTTACCAATAGTATGTGTTACAGGTCATTTTTCATCAAATTTAAAAATTGTATGCAATTTTTATTTGTTTGAGAAAATGTTAGGTTTAAAATCATTTCTTGCATTTATAGAACAAAAAATAACTTATNAATATATATGTATATAGATTTTCGATAGAAGTTCTTACCACAGTTCCAAATTAAATTTAAATGTAGAAAGAAATGAGAAAAAAATACTATTCAAAATATATTACTTTATTTATTTAGTTTAATATGTCTTTAATACTGATATATTGTATGTTTATAATTCATTTCATTTTATTTAACTTAAATACAATATATATGTATATAGATTTTCGATAGAAGTTCTTACCACAGTTCCAAATTAAATTTAAATGTAGAAAGAAATGAGAAAAAAATACTAATCAAAATATATTACTTTATGGATAGATGAACAGTGGTTTGTATGGACAGATCTATTGATAGATGAACAGTGGTTAAATGTATGGACAGATCTATTGATGGATGAACAGAGGTTAAATGTATGGACAGATCTATTGATAGATGAACAGTGGTTAAATGTATGGACAGATCTATAAATGTATGGACAGATCTATTGATAGATGAACAGTGGTTGAATGTATGGACAGATCTATGGATAGATGAACAGTGGTTAAATGTATGGACAGATCTATTGATAGATGAACAGTTGTTAAATGTATGGAGAGATCGATTGATGGAGACACAAAATAACTCGAGATTATTTACTCACATTAAAACCTACCTGATAGACAACTTTGGCAAAATCACCCATTAGAATTAAAAGGATAGGTTATGAATTTTATGATGAATTTGATTGTGAAAAAAATCAAAATCTCAAAATTTGGAAAAAAAAATCTTCGAAAGTAGCGTGGAGTGAAAGTAGATTCCGAATTACAAAATTTTTCTCTAAATGACAATTTTTATCCCCCCCCCCACACACCTCTCTTTTTTAAATTAAAAATTAAAATTTTTTTAGGGTGAGAGAGAGATAAAATGAGAAAACGAAGAAAAAAATGGATTAAAGTAAAAAATATGAAGAAATGGCGACAATAATAAACATATGCTCATGCAACTAATCTACTATGGCATCTGTTTTTTGGGAAACTCTGTAAATCATAAAACGCTATATCGAAACGAAAAAGTATTAGTAATAAATTGTAAACTTTTCTTTACTGTAATCCAGCCTTAGACAAATAATAATAACAATAATAATAAGTACGGAAAATATTTAAACTGATGAATAAAAATGTCCATTATTAATTGCATTAGGAAAATATAAAAAAACGTTTATATTTAATCATCATTTATGTCCCTTTTTCTATATTCCACTCAAATTGAATTGTTTTTATGCAGAAGAAGCGAGGTTTTAGGCATTCAGGCATTCAAGCAGTATGCTTTACATGTCAAACCGTATATGGGCATAGGACTGATTGACTAATAGAGCCCACATCATTTAGCGTAGATAAGAAAGACTAGAAAAAAGATGTACATGGATATACAAGATGGCTTTAAAGATTTTAAACAAAACAGATATGACTTNGTAGCTCTAGCTATAGCTTGATCTCTGGAGGTAGCTCTAGCTATAGCTTGATCTCTGGAGGTAGCTATAGCTATAGCTGGATCTCTGGAGGTAGCTCTCTAGCTGTAGCTTGATCTCTGGAGACTTTTTTCGGAGATATTTAATTTTTGACTTACCGATACGAAATCCATCAAATCCGTCATCTGAACCGTTTACAGTGAGCACAGGAGCTCTATAAACAAAATTTTATTTTAAATTTCGACAATATTCTTGTTTTTCTTTTTTACAACAACAACAAAATTGTTTTTTAATTTATATTAATGCTTTTTTTTGCTTACCTTGCATATGCCTTAGCAACCCTTCTGTTACGTTCTAAAAAGAAGAATAAAATTTTAAAACTTTTTTCTTATGAACATTTTGATATATCTAAACATTTTCCTCTAGCTATATACGCCCCCCCCACACTCTCTCTTCTGTCTTGTAAAATTATATTTTACCGAAAAGAAAATTTAAATAATAAGATTTCCATGTCTGGAATTTAATTAAAAGCTTAATTCGTTTCATCATTAGCTTAACAAATTCTCTTAGACAATATAAACTGTTAAGTTTGCAGCATGAAGAGAGAAGATGCCATGTACAGTGTACTCTGTGTACAGTGTGTACAGCATGAAACTAAAGGACAAAACAATATTTCAGTGTATTTCAATAATAGAATAAAACATAAACGTTTATTTTTTACCTAAAACGATGATTTTGGCCCAAATCTCATCATCTATAGATTCCCATTTGTTCAGAACCTCCTGGATATGATCCTAAAAAAGAAAAAAATTTCATAAATTTTATTTTTCAACAATAAATCACACATTTCAGTTTCGGTATATACAGGGTTACCCACAAAGGATTAGATTGTAAAGACGACCTGAAGAAAATGTCGATTTTCTAGCTTAAAAAATGTAACGCCATGTTATTCCACACAGGGTTCTGTTGAGCCACAAGAAACTGGAGAGAGTTGTATAAGAACCTGACTGAGCTCCCTTAATGTTTACAAATAGAACCAAATTCAATCGAAATAACTAACGTCTTTCCGACGAGTTCGGATACTTGATAACAGCTAACCAGGCTTGATATTCAGGAGTATATTTTAAGCTGTCAGTAGCAAAACTGGATCCAGCTAGGTAAAGAACCTCCATTCTCCAGGTTATACAGCGTTAAAAGATTAATGCAGGTCTTCAATGTTTCTTGCAGTTCCGTTTATTTCTTTTCCATTTGTGTGTAGGGGTGTACACCCCCATATACACCCCTGGCTAAATTTCTCTAGCTTGCCACTTTCTCTCTTTCACCCTGTATCTCTGAATATCAAGACCCAGTGTTACTTCTCTGAAAGCTGAATTTGCATACTGAGTTTAAAATGGTTAATTCTGATAATTAACACATTTTTTCCTGCAGCAAAAATGTGCAGGTCACTTTGGTAAAGAAACCATGATTAAAAATAATCAGTTTTCAAAATGACAAACAAGTCTATCTTGATCATTCTTTATTAGAAAAAGTTTTTATGGTACCGTTGTGAATTAGATAAATGATAATGCAAGAGTTAAAAAAAATTGCGAAAATCAATGATTTAAACAAAACCACAGCATCTTTGGTTTATTGACGAGATTTACAGTGATAACCAGAAAACAATGGTACAGTTGCTATGTCTAATGTTAATTGAACTAGTTTAAAAGTCGTCTACCTATTTCAGAGTTTTCTGGTTATCACTATTAATGATTTATTTGGAATGGGTTCGAAAAAATCTAGCTTTTTGACAAATTTAATATAACCAGAGATACAAATCTAATATCAGGAAAAAATTCCCCTTCCTCAAATTATCCCCATCCCCTCTTCCTTATTAAAATCCTCCCCCACCAGGCCTGAAATGAAAACTCACCATAAAAAGTTTTTCTTTCTTGAACCACACATCCTCCTCCTCTTCCTAAAACAAACAAAAAATAAATCCAAATAGTTAAAAATTTCAAATGAAAGGAGGATACATCATGAACCCCCATATCTTCGTTTACCAAAAGTGTACAGCAATTTCTGGGAGTAATGTAAACAAAATTTTTGGCCGGCGCACTGAGCAGCAGTGATTGATTGTTTTTTGATTCATTTTAGAAACTAAAGAAATCTTTTGTTCTTGGATTAAATACATTAATTGGTACAATTTTATGTTGATGAATCCAAGCATAGGAGAATATTTTTTTATCGAATTTAAAAATTGGGTTTTTGCTTTCAGGGAAGATAACATTGATATTCTTGAAGATGAACTCTCAAATATGGTTTCCAAATTTTCGTTCTCTTTCGCGAAAATCTTGTCCAGTCAACGAAATTCGTTCAAAGTTTTTGACCTTTCCTTCAAAATCTTATTTTTTTCCAAACTACAATTTTCTTGAGGCGAAATGGAAAGATTTCGATTTTAATCGGACAAAAATTAGACGAAAGTTTCGGGAAAATTAAAAATTTTCGCGAAAATGAGATACCCCCTGTTATAATCCAGTTGTAACAAGTAGAGACTTGGAACAGACTTCAACTGAAATTAAGCCTGAATAAAAAACAGGCATTTTGGCAGGCATATAGGGCAGGAAGTCGGTAACAAGGGGGTGTAAGGGGGTCCAGACAGACTGGAGGAAGGGGAGAGGACAAAATTAATAACCACAAAAATATGTAAATAAAGATTTGAATGAATTCTTAGGAAGATTGGAGAATTATTTCTTTAAATAGAAACAAAATAGTAAAAGGATTTAACTAAAATTCAGCATTTCATTAAAATAGCAAAAGAAATAAGAAGCAAAAGCGAAGCAAGTTCGGGTTTAAGAAAATTTTGCTTTTTATTTCAAATTTTTGAGTACTTTATATCCCGTTCCTGACTTTATATCACGTTCCTGACTTTATATCACGTTCCTGACTTTATATCACGTTCCTGACTTTATATCCCGTTCCTGACTTTATATCCCGTTCCTGACTTTATATCCCGTTCCTGACTTTATATCCAGTGCCTGACTTTATTTCACGCAAATTATTGGCTTTATCAGACGACTTTACATAAATCTCTGGTAATTTTAAACGTACAATTAAGGCAGACCACATTTTGGAATTAGCAGGTCTAGGGCTATTTTGTTATTATCGTTTCATTTATCATATTTGTAAAATTAGATTGTGTCGTCTGAATAGTTATAAATTAATTTCGGGTCTTTCGGATTATAACGTTGTATGTCGTAATATTTTATCCCAAAGAAACTGATTACTTGCTTCAAACTCTAATGTTCTAAACTTTATATTTCTTAACACTGATGTCACAGATCATTAAAATTCCTAACTATGAATTCTGTTAGACTGAATAGTCAAAGATTAAAATTTCAAAAAATTAAAAACAAATCAGGTTTAAAAAAAATCGGGATTAAAAATTAAAGTATGTGACGAGTAATAAGTATCAAAGATATAAAGGGAAACAACGAAATGATTTGGATTAAAAAAATTAACCTGAAATGGAGGTTGCTCAATATTCAATTGATCTCTACTTCGAGACAAAATCTTTCTCCGTGACACCATCATTTTTCGTTAATCACTGTGGCCACTTGGTAAAATCGATTTATACCGTCAGATCAATCGAGTTTAATCAATCAATGGTTTAACTCTTTTTTTGTAACTAAAAACCTTCAGTTCAAAACACTCTTTGATTTTTTTGATCTCTTCATGGTGTCATTTTAAGATCTGAAATAAAAGATAAATTATTTTTGAAGTTTTATTCATTTTCCGATATTTACCAAAGAGTCGATGAAACGAAATTTACGATTTTATCAATGTTAGACTATTTACAATGCTTCCTGCCTTGTAGGGTTTGTAAAACCAGTTAGTGAAGGTCACACTTCAACAGAGACTCATGAAATTGGAGCAAACATAGAATTCAAGAGATATCAAGCTACTATATGCTACACATGAGAGGGAGGGGCTCAGCCCCTCCCCCTCCGAGGATCAGACTAATCTATGGTTTCCAGGGGATTTTAGGATAAAACGAATGCTGAGCCACCCTTCAAAGAAAAAAAATGTACGACCCCTGGACAAATTCCTGAATACGTCCCTGAGACAGATATTCAAAAAGCTCAACTGATCCATATTCCCCCCTGTAAAACTGAAGAACCTAACAGCATAGAAATTTTTTACATTTTTCACCATTATTCCTTTCTCAAAAATGGAAAATTCCCACTACACAACTAAATCTATTATGCAGGAAACATTTTCAATAAAATATTTTGCTGAATAGGATTTTCAATCTAAAGAAAAAATCCGGATAAATTATTTTTTCTATCAAATCAAATCCGGGTTATAACCATCATATCTATACAATCTTTGGGCCACCAATAAAGCAACAGATTTAGTACAAATCAAGTTTAACCCTATCCTATCTGTCCAATCTTTGGACCAACAAATAAAGTTATAACTTTAATACAAATTAAGTTTAAAACTATCCTTTCTGTCCAATCTTTGGACCGACAAATAAAGTTATAACTTTAATACAAATCAAGTTTAAAACTATCCTATCTGACCAATCTATGGACCAACAAATAAAGTTATAACTTTAATACAAATTAAAAAACTTTCCTTTCTGTCCAATCTTTGGACCAACAAATTAAGTTATAACTTTAGTACAAATCAAGTTTAAAACTTTCCTTTCTGCAAACTCTTTGGACCAACAAATCAAATTTATTGATTCATGTTACTGTCTTCAATCCATTTATTTTTTCAATCATTGGATTAAATCTGATCACTGTCTTTAATCCGTTCCTTCTTTAAACATGATTACGATCTCCATGCTATATATGATCTCGATGATTCAATTAGAATCATTTTAATAAATAAATTCCTCGAAAGTAATTAGATGTTTTCAGTAATTTCCGTCCTTTACATTTGCCATCATTGGATCCATAATAAAATCATTAGATCCAATTCATTCTTTGGATCCAATCCAATCCATTCTCTAACCATTGGAATTATTGTAAATTCATTGGATCCATTCTACAATATATGGATTTATTTTACAATCATTGGATCCATTCCACAATATTTGGATTCATTTTAAAATCATTGGATTCATAACAAAATCCTTAGATCCATGTCTCCATTCACTAGATCCATGGATCCATCCATTGGATCCATGTCTTCATTCATTGGATGGATCCATCCATTGGATCCATGTCTTCATTCATTGGATCCTTTCTCCAATCATTTATCCAATCAACAATCATTTCGAATTCAATCTACAGGAATAGGATAAATTTTGAGTGGATTCATTCTCCAATCTTTGGATTTTTTATTGCAATCATTTTATCCATAGAAAAATCATTGGATCCATATCCCCATTCATAGAATCCTTTCTCTAATCATTGATCCTATCTGACCAATCTATGGACCAACAAATAAAGTTATAACTTTAATACAAATTAAAAAACTTTCCTTTCTGTCCAATCTTTGGACCAACAAATAAAGTTATAACTTTAATACAAATTGTTTAAAACTTTCCTTTCTGTAAACTCATTTCGAATTCAATCTACAAGAATAGGATCCATTTTGAGTGGATCCATTCTCCAATAATTGGATTTTTTATTGCAATAATTTTGTTCATAGAAAAATCATTGGATCCATTATCAAATCATTGAATCCATATCCCCATTCATAGAATCCTTTCTCTAATCATTGGATCTTTTATTCAATCATTGCATCCATTCAAAAATACTTTTGAATTTATTCAATAAGAATAAGATCCATCATGAGTGGATCCATTCTCCAATCATTTGATCCATAATAAAATCATTGGATCCATGTCTCCATTCATTGGATTCTTTCCCCAACCACTGAACCCTTTCTCCAACCATTGAATCCTTTCTCCAATCATTAGATTTAATTTACATTAATGTATTCATAATAAGATTATTGAATCCATTATAAAATCATTGGATCCAATTTAAAATCTTTGAATCCATTATCAAATCATAGGATCCATTCTCCAAACAGTTGATCCAATCATTGGATTGATTTTACAATCATTGGATCAATAATAAAATCATTGGATCCATTCTTTTATATTTGGATGCATTCTTTAATCAAACATGATTCATTTTGCAATCAACAAATCCATTTTTCTGCCATTCCTCAATGGATCCAAAAATGGGGTTCATTGGATGGAGGGGGGGAGGGGTTTAAGGGATGTAGAGAAGGGGGAGTAAGGGATGTAACTCTGTTTCTGGTTCCCATTAATATCTATAATCTGATCAAGGATTGGCTATTCATTCTAATTCTTATAGCTGAAAATTTAATATCTAGGTGCGGGTACCGTTGTAAATCAAACATGTCAAGGCACTTTAAATTACGTCACAATAGACACGCCTTAAACTAAGCCCTCTTCCTTCCTTCATTTCAGAATGAACGACCAATCATAAAGGTTAAAATATATAAACGATTAAAGGGATTGTTTACGTGATTTCAAGTTTACCACCATTTAAAACGTTATACAAGTAGTGATGGGAAATATGGACTTAAAAAGGCTCCTTAAAAATTTGAGAAGTTTACATATTTCAAAATGGTTCATTCTAAACATTTGCTTACTTACGTACACAATGTCACAATTATAACCCCATGCTATGCAAACGATCTAGAAACGAACCATTAAACAAACCTAACATTGAACCAAACATTATCGTTTACTAAATATTATAGAGATTAACAGATCTACAGTACAGGCGCATGGAAGGAAATCTACAGAATTAATATCTTTTAAATTAAGAAAACTCGCGACATCTTCCTTATTGTAATTGTGAATTTAATATGCAACTCTTTAAATGTATAGGATCAATTGTAATCACGACTACATATTCCATTTAGGACTCCTACAAATTAATGATATGATTCAGCTTAATATTCCGGAGGGAATTCATTTTCACTGGAGGGGTTGGAAAAAAAAGCTTTTTACAATTTAAAACTGTACGCAGGGTGATTAATATTCCACAGGAGGGATTCAGATATATAGAATCGAAATCTTACTACGAACTTCTATTTTTCCAAATTCCAGAAAAACCAGATTTTTATGACATAATTTTTAATAATAATGCAGGATATCCACAAACTAATTATAGAAAATAATGTAAAGTAGGAGCGCCGCTGCCATTTTTAGAATAAATTATTTTTTTAAAATGCTTTTGCAATTCTTACTCTTTACTTTAATTAACGACGTAAATAGTCAAACCGATGATAGTAAAAAGATTTAAAGAATGATGTATAAATATTATATATCTCTTAAAATGAAAGTTTATATCGCCGACCCCTTTAAGTGTTGACGTTATTAATAACTAATAAAAACATCTTGATATATGATATTGTTGAATAGTAAAATTTTTCGCATATAAATCATATATCAATATAAATGCTAAAATGATATTTATAAAAGTATGGTTACAGGGCGCTTCGCAGATTGGACCCCTTTCATAAATAACAATTTAAGCTGCAGTTAACCATTGCTACTTAAGCTGCAATTTTTCTTTGTTACTCGTAGTTCGCAGATTTTTCTGTTTAAATTTCCGCACTTTCAAATTTGGAAATGTTGACATTTTTTCCAGACAAAATTTTAACCTCCCATAAGCATTATTTCGGGTAAGTGATTTGCTACAAAAAGTTGGGCTTGGTCGGTTCAGCCGTTTTGACAGACAAGCAAAGTATTTATCGAGACAAAATTTGATATCGTTGACGGTCAATAAATCATTCCTGGGGTCATGAAATTTGCCACACAAAATTTTGTCCTGATCGGTTCAGCCGTTTTAAGTTTTGGATAAAGTAATATTGTAAGTAATAAAGTATATTAGATAAAGACAGTCAAATATATATATTAGATTTAGATGGTGCAAATGTGTGATTAATTTTCTTATTCCTTTTCTTTTTAAGGTATAATTCTAAGGGGGGATTTTAAAGTTTAATTTTTAAAAAATTAGGATATTCTTTTATTTCAACCAAAGAATTGAAATTCAAACTATAATATTTCTGCATTAAGGGTTCAGTATATTTCAAATATGTAAAAAGAAAGAAAACCATTTTGAAAATTGTAAAATCAATTCATATCACAGATGTCAGGCCTTCAAGTGTTTAACCCACAGAACTGGTAATTTAGCTAGATTTGCGGAAAATCTTATTGAAGGGAAACTTATGCTAAAATAATCATATATGTTGCGGTTTTACATGCTGTAATTTACACTACATATTTTACATGCTGTAATTTACACTACATATTTTACATGCTGTAATTTACACTACATATTTTACATGCTGTAATTTACACTACATATTTTACATGCTGTAATTTACACTACATATTTTACATGCTGTAATTTACACTACATATTTTACATGCTGTAATTTACACTACATATTTTACATGCAGTAATTTACAATTCATATTTTATAATGAAAAGTGTGTTAACTGTAGGCAAAAAATTAGAGGTTATTAAGGAGATTTTTACTAATAAAATCATAAGATTTTTCTATTAAATGATTTTTTTTTATTTTAAATATTTTTTACTTCATAAACCTCCACTAACCTCGACTAAACCTCGACTAAACCTCAAAAAATAAACCTCCAATAAACCTCTATTAACTACTGTATATTTCCTAACCTTCTGCTAACCCTGAGTTGGTTAAATATACCCAGCCCTCGGTTTATTCAATCCAAAGTATGATAATT